CTTTATTACCGCGATGTAAGCTTAAGTACATCACTAGTACGGTATTGATATATTAAAATAATAATGCTTGAAAGGTCTCTAACTTTACATATATCTGTCACTTAATTTAATACGGACTTTTATGCATCTTACTAAATCATTTTTCATTCGCATTAATTTTGTCGTTGTACTAGGTGTTTCATAAAAATAAAATTTATCTGTGATGCTATTTTCAATGCCTTGTTCCTCTACCTACATAGGACGAAATATGCAATGAAAATGTATTATTTAACGCGACTTCTATATAATTGATGAACGTTACGTAAGCGTGAATTACTTGAAATCCAGGCGAGTTCACGTAGATTATTGATAGCGCACGGGGAAAATCCAGAAAAATTAAATATTACCACACTGCTGCAGCCACTGGCGGACTGCTTGAATCACGGGAGCAGAGGGAGGATGGAATCGGTCTCTAGCGTAAATCTTAATTACGCTCGGCCTAACAAAACACACGTTGACACAGACAAACTGGAGTTACTGCTATAGCCCCGCAGCTTGCGTGCCATCGCAACACTAAAGCGCGCGCTTGTCTGTATCTCATCGTGCTCTACATAAATTGCGCGTTAGTTTATACTTCGCCTAGCGATGAGCAGCTGCGACACAAAGATAGCACGCGTTAATACGAATAGGTGCCGTATTCATCGCTCATTATAGAGGCGCAACGTATGCCCATTCGGAAACCAGAACGTCGGAGGAAAAGCCGCGGCGCGCATATACGGATGTACGCGGAGGCAAATGTATAGCGTCAGCTGCCAAAAGCTAAAGCGCCGAGAAAACGCGTGCGCGATGTAAATCGATAATCGCGCCAGTAGGTCAGACCCCCCTGCGCGTAGTTGGGCCGCGCGGCGGAAACTGTGCCAAAGTCCGTCACCACCGCCGCGGCCAGCTCCGCACCTCGCGTTCGTTTTTCGAAGCGAGAATTTCATTAGCGACGCGCGGGAAATGAAGAGCGAGAGAGAAAGAGAGCGAGAAAGAGAGAGAGAGAGAGAGAGAGAGAGAAAACGCCTTTTCCAGGATGTCGCAGAAAGCCAAGAGGGAATTGCGCCGTCTCGCCGCATCACGCTTGCGTTTGCACTTTCTTGCTTTCCTTTCTCTCTCGCTCTGTCGGTAGGACCAATGGCCAGAGGATAGTAACTGTCTGGAATGGATTATGGTAATGTAGATAGGATTTCAGCGCGTTTTTTTTCCTCCTCTAGTTGGGTGTAGTTGCGGGATATCGGGCGAAGCAAGCAGATTTTTTTTTATTATCGTGAGATTTAATTTCTCGTGGAGGAAAAATCAATTTCTCATACGCTCTATAATTATCCTTTACATAATGATAATGCTTCTATGAGCATACGTTTGTACGGCGGATGCCCGTAATGGAGCGCTCCTCTCTCGCCTAGCTTATAATAGTGCTTTCGTTAATATTTTTTAAGAACGTCGAGATTTAGACGAAAACAAATGGCACTTTTGGGAATGATTGCGCTCGCAAATGCATGGCGTGCGTCCGCGCGAAACGAACCGAAAACATTAATAGAATCCTCGGGAGTAGGTCAGTTCGTTATGGTACATAATTTGATTACGCTAGCATGCGAACCTGCTAACAAATAGATCGTAGGGAAGTCCATACCTCCGTACATCGGCGAGCAGTCGTTAGCCGAGAAAGCACTCGCGAGCAGCTAATGAAAACGAACGCGACGTGCGCGTTTCACGAGTGAGCGCTGCGTGGCGCACGTGCGCGGATGTACACGTAGCGTCCGCGAAGGAGAGCGAGAGAGAACGAAATGAAACGTCTGCGCAGTAAAGCTTCGCCGCTAACATAATTAAGAAGCAAAGCGAAGCCGCTAAATTACGTAAAGTCCTCGTAAAAAAGTCGAGCCAATTTCCCTTTTTCGTTTTAATTCCAGCCGATATCGCTTCTGGCGTGGTCCGCGCCGTGCCAGCGCCAGCCAAAAACTGCCGTGCAAATAAAGGAGAAAAAGGAAAAAAAAACGTGGACGTGAAAGAGCGAGCGAGCGAGCCAGAGCAGCGCCGCGTATCGAGCAAGCCTGTATCTCTAAAAATAAAACGCGTAAGATGCGCCAACACATTTCATCGTCGATCAGCTACGCTTCCCCTTTGAAAATTAGGACGCGGCCGTTACACGTACGTGTACACCCGCAGCAGGATTAAATATATTGCAAGACGAGCCACTCGTTAAGCTCCTTACGCTTTTTTTCTTTATATTATATATCGCGTGTTGTTTTTATCATCGAGCCTCGGTAGCATTGCGCCTACACGCGAGGGCGCAATTAGTTCTAGCGGCTTCTCTTTCTATCGCTGACTCCATCTCAATTGATTTTTAATTGCGCCACTTTTACTGCAATTGCTTATACGTCAACTTGGGAGCTGTTATTTTCCTTATTTCCGCCGGCGTATCCAGTTTTTTTTCGCTTTTTCAATCAAAACACTGCAAATTCAGCATCGATCGGGGTTATGTGTATTTACGTTCGCGTCAATTACGCAACGAGTGAGGGAGGGTGAACTCGCACGTTAACGAGTTAGAGATTAGCGCTGAGTGCGCTAATTATTGGATTGAATGCGAATTCGTAATTGTGAATACGCGCGACCTAGCATAAACCGTTTGACTTTATAAATCGGCCCAATTCCGTTGAAGCTGAAATAATTAATTGAACTTGTCTTTGTGTGCTCCGTCGGCTGTCGCTTGAGGATTTGAGGCAAAAACCTACTGGGTCAATGTAAGTAATTATCGATTTCTTTGCTGTTACCATCGCTGCCACGCTCTCTCTCTCTCTCTCTCTCTCTCTCTCTCTCTCTCTCTCTCTCTCTTTCTCATTTTTGTATTTGCTAATGCAAAAAACAGGGCCGGCATTAATTAATAACCAAAGTCGAGTTATATATACAATTGGAAATTACATGTTTTTTTAATAGGTGATATTACAAATAAATACAATTTTCTTTGAATATTTAACCGTATGTATGATAATCCAACGACGGCTTTATTATGGATTTAAACCACAATTCATTGTAAATGAAAGTTGCTTAAATAACAAAGACTAACCAGAAAAACAAAACTAGTTTAAGGCTCGGAAACTGCGACTTCATCAACGCATTCAGACAATTATACGAAAAAATTCAAAACCCTTCTAGAAACGTGAAACAAAACACAAGAGAGAGAGAGAGAGAGAGAGAGAGAGAGAATGAGAAAAAAGGCAGCGCCCTGGTAAATACGCATATTTCCAGCCGACAGAAGTTAAACTTTAGAGCAGCTCGAGCCAAATCCATGCGGCAACAAAGCGCGCCAATTCGAAATCGTAGCAGCTAGACCGAAATAAAAGCAGAGCAAAGCTGCGAAGAATAATGCACACAAACACATATACACTCCGCGAGCTTTAATTACTTCCGCGAGGCCGCAGCCGACGCTCAAGCGGGGTAAACGTGACTCGTCGCCCGGAAATTGCCAGGCCCGCGAAGCTGAATTGCGCTGGCCAGCCAATTGCATTGCGAAGATGAGAAAAAGGCGCGCGCACATACGTTCGGCGAGTGCACCATGGAAAAGAAATAACAGCGACAAATCTTGCTGTTATTTTCTCTTTTACCTTTCCGCGCATACAACTTTGCAAACAATTTGGAATTTCTGAGCTTTTGAATAACGCTCGCGGCACCGATGTGCAGTACTTAGGAATTTTCCAGGTGGCTGCCGGGACTTTCAAGATTTATGGTCATTGGTTTGGTTTGCTCGAATGTCTGCAGGAATGCGTATGTAGAACTGATAAAAAATTTCGGAATTTACTTTTCTCTCTTTTTTTCTTTCTTGTTAATGAAGTTTCGCACGTAACGTTAACCTAAATTTATTTTTTTATTATCGCAATTACTCTGTTGATAGCAGCATTTATTTACGAGGTGATGCTACGTGTAAACGATCGATTACATTTACGACGCATTGTATTTTATCGTTTGCCATTGAAAAATGTTACTGCAACAACATCAAAGGCTTTTATTAGTAATTCACGTAATTGTACTGTGACGAGGCTGAATTTTTGATAAAGATTCAAAATATCGATTGCGTCGCAAGTACTACTAAATCATTGACTTCAAGGAAAGAAAGAATCGCACATGTAAAGAAAGACGGAAAAAAATATCGGTATAATTTGTAAATAGGCTATACCAACGTTCTAATACATCTACAGAAGAAAAAAAAAAGAAAAAAAAAATAGTTTCAACGCATAAAAGTTGCAATTTCCCAGAAGCATTATGGGTATTGAAAAGAGGTACTTTCGTGAAAGTGAGGCGTATAACATCAGTCCGTAGACAAATAGCGTAGTAGCGAGCGTAGGAGGTGAAATCCATTATTATTACCATTATCGCAGAGTGCAAGCTTAAACGCTTTGGAGAGTTACTTATTCTTTAGGCGGAACGGTTAGAGCGAGAGGGAAAGAGACTGCGCAACAATTATTTCGCGGTGAACCGGCACGGAGGGTATTTAGCGTGCGCTCGACCGCTGTCGTGACCATAGTAACAGCAGAGTGTATGTAAAAAGAGAGCAAAGTTTTCGAAGCACCCAGTATAGTGCAAACGCGACAATGAGAGCCGTTTAAGGTCTATTAAACGCGAAAAATAACACTCGAGTGCACGCGAAACCGCAGATAAGATAAGACTGGCGGACATTCACAATGCATGTATTTCACGTGTCGTTTCACATCTATGCATTAAATACATGTATATATTCGTGCTTCTTTTCCTTTTCCTGATTCGCGCGTGGGTTTTTCTTTACTTTCGCGAAAGGAAACGACGCCATCGTTACCTTCAGTGCGAGTAGCTCTTTTATGTGTGCGATGTTGTTCTTCAGGAGATACATATGTACAATATTGACAGCAACAATCAGAAAAAGAAAAATGAAAAAAAAAAAGAAACGAAGAAGAAACAAAAATAATGGTGAAAAGTGAGAGATTATTGAAATGTAATAAAATGTCGGTTAGGGTTGGTAACTGGCGGTTTTCATGAGAAGAGACTGCTAAACGACCTGCTGGATACGTACAACACGCTGGAGCGACCGGTCCAAAATGAGTCCGACCCCCTTCCGCTGAGCTTCGGCCTTACGCTTATGCAAATTATTGACGTTGTAAGTTTGACACGAAGAAAAAGAAACAAAAACCAACAAAAAAACCAAAGTTCATGCCTACAGTTGAACAGTTATTTTTTGAACTATTTTTTCAAACAGTTACAATACTTTCACATGACAAATTATAAGAAACTCATACTGTTTACATATGGCATTGATACTTTGTTCAGTTTTTCTTTCACTCGTATTATCACGCTTTCAATTTTTTCTTCTTCTTACTCATTTCTATTTTCTGAGAGACTACCATTCCTGCACCACTTTTTTGATTATTTGCAATGTGACGAGAGAAGAGTTTGCCTTGTTACCTTTGTAAAATGAGCGTAGTTCTTAAGAATTTTTTTTGCTGAGTATTTTTTTTAGTGTAGAATATTTTCATGGATAATAAGTAGTATAACATGTAGAGATGAAAAATCAATTCATTTTATTCGGGAGCTTCTTTGTGAACTGACATATCTTTCTATCAAAAATATAATATATTAATGTTAAATAAATGTGTAAAATGAAATCGATTATATATTTTTTGACATGTCTAAAATATTAATAACAAACTATGATTGATTCACATTATCAAACGAATTCGTTTCATTTTAAATTTAGATAATTAACTCTCTCAGAAGTTTATAATTCAATAAACGTATATATGCGTCAGCGTCATTAATTATCTGACTAAGTTTATGTTACGAAGTAAATAATAGTAATTGCATATATTATTATCAGGTGAAGCTAACAAGTTTTAACTTTAGTGATGATTAGGATTTGTGGACTAAACATCCACACTAATGAGGCAAACTATTTTCTTGTTTTAATTGCTTGAAATTCCATTTGGTTCGACTATCTTATTTAACTTATATTATTTATTTAATTTCATAAGAGTGTATAATAAAAGCAAATGTTTTTATCGTAGAAAAAAAAATAATTGAACCAAATTGAAAGTAATACACAAATCTAGCTTATTTGATTGAGTTTTTTTATATCGAGGTAAAGTTTGATATGCACGTAACTCGAGATGACGCCCATCAAAGCACCATTCACTCTTCACAATTTGAGTTGTCGCTCGATATTATTCTGCGCGTAGCTCAGTTTTCTCTCTCTTTTTTTTTTCATTTCTTTTATCGATTTCCCAGTCGTTGCACCCTCGTTTTTTGTCGCTCGGATGATTTTTCACTATCTCGCTCTTTTTCTCCCATTATGTCAATTTAATCGCGGCACCTTAATCGATTTCAAATGCATATAACGCGACGCGCATCGCTCTCACTTCTCAGTCTCTTTTGCTCTCCTTCCGCTGCCTCTTTTAATTTATCTCTCATGGAATTTCACTTCTTCTTATATTTTCTGGATTTGCCTATATTGCTTACTGAGTATTTCGGCTATTTGATTTTATTTTTTATTATTTTTGTACAACTTAAGGCGTGGTTACTTTTGATTTTGCTGTAGTAGCATTGACAAAATCCCTTTTCTTTTGTAATGGAGTGCAATCTTACTTGTTTATTGAACCTATACTTGCTGAAAGTAATGAGGCTAAAGCAAAGCGAACGCTGGAAAATTATGCTGTTTGTAATGTTTTTTAGTATTCAAGTTTTGACATAAATCACATTATTTAATTTCTGGAATTGCAAAGCATAAAGATTACGCTTTGAAATATTGATAATCGTATTGACGCGGAGTTTGCTTTTGACAACGTTGTGCCGCTGCGTTCAAAAATGGGGAATCGGCACAAAGAGATCGCTATACCTGATTTTGCCGCCTTGTGTTTTCGAATTCGCTTTATGCGCGAGTAAATATCCGCCGTCCGTACATTGGTAAAAGTTTTCCTCTTTTTTCTATACGTTTGACTGTTGGAAAGTACTTTGATCTGCGAAGCGTGCCTACGTAGCTTTTTGCTTAGAAATTCTTTTGTCGCTGTGCCGTATGTCGATCGATTAGCATGAGAATTTATCCAGCACGCAAAAGAATGAAAGAAATAAAGAAGCACAGACTATATATTGTGGGAAAGAAAAGACAAATTAGAGCGGATAAACTCGGAGAAGAAAAGAAGTCAGCGAATGTTGAGTTTGCTAATGGCACAAGCGAGCAATAATTGAGTATACGTCAACAAATTAATTTTAATAAGCAGCAGTGTCCCGACGGTTTACAAAACAAGCACTCGTTGGTATAGTCGGACGGGTTCGGCAAGTCGCCGAGAGCAGAAGGGAAATCTCGATTATAAATGCGTAAACAAATTTTCAAGTGTGTTCGCTCAGCTCTGGCCTCCTCCTCGTCAATATGCAAATTTTTATTACTGCACTTTTATGTTTCCTTATTTTCCGAAAGAAAGCTCTCCTTGAGCTATATACATGGTTATTTTCATGGATTACGTTTGCACTAACATAATATCTATTTATATATGTCCTATCTACCAGAGAATCACTCGATTTGTTAATTTGTGTATCGAACATTAATATATATTTATATTATGCATTATTGATTCGCGTCTCTTTTTTTGTGTCTTGTTATATATACTTTATATATACCCTACTTTGTGATACCTTTTATACAATGATAATAACAGTGACACTCCTTTAACCAATGAAAGAAAATACAATGTTCATTCAAACATAGATTGTACAGTTGTAATTAATTGTTAAGTAAAAATATACACTCGCAACATTATTCACCAGTGATACAACATAACGATACATATAATTTTCAAATCCAGCCGAATCCGATATAATGGAAAACTCACTCATAGGAAAGTGCGATGAAATGAGACAGTGTAAACGTGCCCAGTGTGCGTCACGGAGGCGAGCATCTTGAAAGATAATGATTTCCTCCGGCCAGAATATTCAATTTCCCAGCTCCAGCTTCTCCTCCTCCTTCTCTCCTTCGAGTGCCAATAGCCATAAATATCAGCTCCTGAATAGAAATTTTCAATCTACCACCTTATATATCCCTCTAATAATTCACTGCTTATCGCTTCTCAGGCAAAAATCTCCGGATTTCGCGCGGGCTAATGTTTATCCGATATTGCATGCTTTCTCGCCGCCGCCGGATTCAAATCAATAACAACCACTTTCGCGCGGGTTTTTTACACTCTAGCCATAATTATTTGCTGACCGATTGATCGCCAATCGATGGGCTTTGGTTGTTTTTCTTGTGCGCCGAAATTCCTTAAAGTTTGGATCCCTTCAAGGCAGGTAGGCTATTGGCGTAGCAGTTGGCATTTGGCATCCTCTTAACTCTTAAAGGACTTGGCTCCCGCCAAAGTCTCTTCTTCGGTGTGATAATATCTATCGATCCATTTGTTGTATCTCTCGAGTGAAGTTTATTTTGGTATTTCTTATCGTTTCCAAAGTGAAAGCGCCGCCTGCATTTTCCTTTCGTTGAGATGCTTCAAGCGAAACTGAAGTTTTTTCTGATCGTCGTTTATCTCTTTTTGCCTGTCCGTTTATTCGCGTTCGATCGCGACGCGTAATTGTAGGCACGCCAATATTATCACAAGGGCGGGCTGACGGAAACAAAAGAAAAAATCCTCAAGAGGGAGAGAGCGAAGTGGCGTTAACAATCGCTGACCGAAATTATAGGCTCGGCTTTGTCAAGCCAACCGGATAATTACCTCCGCAACAGCGAGGACGCTAATAAGAGCAACCTACCGAATATCGCGCGCGTCGGTGGCATAGCCGATTCCATTCTTTCGTCGTGGTCTAATCTGAGTAATGACGCCCGTAACCTCGTAATTAGCGGGCAGGCCTCTCTAGTCTCGCATTCCAGGCGTGCGACCGCAATAAGCTGCTGCTACTGTTGGTGCATCGACCCATCGTCTTTTTCGCCCTCCCACCCTCTTCTTTTCTCTTTTGTTTTTGTGTCCTCGTTTCGAGCTACCCTCAGTGCTAAAGACACTGATTTCTCTCTTTCTCTCTCTCCCTTCCTTTCAGCAGCTATGTACTTCGGAAAGGATTGCTCTTGGATAACCGTTTGTTACCAACGAGTCTTGCGTACAGTTTTGCGCATCGCTTGCTTACTGTTTTACGAATGCTCTGTGCGCAATCCACGTATTCTCTACCAGTTGGTTGTTCTTTCTTCTTTTTTGCCTCTGCCCCTCTGCCCCTTCGCCTCAAGGATTTTTCGCTGGTTTCTGGGGTATCATTGTGATGCGCAGTGCAGCAGATCGTGTTTTTTTTTCGCTCTTGCTTTTTGTAAAAGTTCTGTACGGCTGGTTTATTTATTGGTAAATTGCAGAATTTACTCGACTGTAAAGTTAAAAAATACACGCTTCTTCTAAAATAATCATTTGAATAACGGTCTCGTGGGATTAATTTGCTGATTCGTGTCAGTCATATTTGATATTGTGGAGTTTACGGTGAAAAATTTTATCTTACGCGTGCATCGAAATGTTTCGTGCAAGTCTTTCAGTTCCGGAAAAGCGATAAAAACAAAAAGCCAAATGCTGCTGCCAATTTATCGGTCGCAGTATGAAAAAACTTGGATATTTCGGAAGCTCAAAAATCATGAAAGTAAGTTGATTTTTCTGCGCTGCCGTGATTTTCGTTGGGCAGCGATCGAATAGAAAAAGTTTGACACTCGTTGATGAAAATCGTGCAACATCTGTTCCGAACGTAAATCGTAGAGTGGTATTATAAAATTACAACGGCAAAAAAGCAAAAGAAAAGAGAAGAAGAAGAAGAAGAAGAAGAAGAAGAAGAAGAAGAGGAAGAAGAGAGAAGCGTATACATATACGAGCGAAGTAAATACATCGCTGACGCTCGGGCTGTTTCTTTGGAAAAGCACTAAAATGCCTTTTACGTACTTGTTCGTATATTGCGGTAGAAGGGCTTCCGTTCTCCTTTTCTTTACTTTTTGTTTCTTTTTTTTTCTTCTTTTTATTCGACGAGGGTCTGAAAAACTTTTCACGAGCTTTTTACGCGACTTTCTCCTACTTTCGGACAGCGCACGCTCGTCCTATAAGTCCGAGCTTGTAGGCGATTTTTATAGGTCCTCTCGTAGCAGAAAAGAGATTTGTTTGA